TACTCATTGAATCGTTTTTTATCAGTGAAGCCTTCATTGCTTCTTTGCTGACTTATCCAATTATCTTGGACAGACATTACTGGAAATATTCATTAAATTAAGTGTTGGATAGAAAACACAGTTTACAGCTCTTAGAGCATGCAGTTTATTATGTCGCACAGATTTTGTCGCAATGTGTACTAAATGTGTTTTTATGCTAGAGTTGATTCGAAAGCAAACCAATAAGGATGCTTAAATTGCATTCCTCTATTAGAGGTGAAATCTGTTCATGATCAGGTGTTCATGCTCCGAAGTAAGTTCATGCTTTGGTGAGCTCCTACTATGCATGCAAAACAAACACCATTTGTTTGTGACGTTGCGTAGAGACCTGATACCAAACAATGTTCAGTTCCGAATTGCCTGATAACAAGAAACACTCAGTGATCTTCTTTAACTTTTACAGTAGATTTTCAGATGAAGTCATTTGTTTTTGAGATAAGACAAGAAAAAAAAAATACAATTCCTTAACGAAAATATTCATTGAAGATTTAGTTTCAATCATAATTCCCTGACCGCTTCTTTTTGCTTTTTTTTATTTTTTTATTATGGCATTATAATGTAACTCCTGTTCGATATACCATGCGAAACATCCGGTAGAAAGCTCATACAACAGCCTTTTACCGAATGTTTGAAAGTATGCAAATTGCCGTTAGCTGTTAAATATAATTTTGTGATCATAACCTTCAGAAATAGAGATTGTTCTTAGAGTTCCAGAGTTCAGATACCTACTGCATTTTTTTAACCTAAAGAAAGAAAAACATGCAGTTGCAGTTTTTACAACTGCTGCTAGTTCTAAAAATAACTTAATTTTTATGCATTGGAAAACGTATCAAAAGATTTTAACGAAATTTAAACTTCGTTTAACTAAAACATTTCTCATGCATAACGTTTGCATAATTTTGATACTATGTTACTATGTGCCAAAGCAAGAATAAGCCATCCGATTTATTTCAGTGGATTTTCAGATCTATAGTTCTCAGGTATCCATTATACATCAGGAAAAGTTGAAGCTCTTTTCAAAGTTTGCTTTTAAGAAGATGAGGATAATTCATACCGCAAGTGGACTTGCAAATAAATATGAACAATAATACAGCTATAAATCGAAGAACAAGCATAAATTCGCAGTTCATAAGCTCCATAATTCATTCCTCCAATGTTGCAGAAACATCTGTCAGAAAATCTTTGTGGCTGTACTAGCAAGGAGCCCCCGATAGAGAAAATTCCAGAGGTAATTATTTCCAAATCTCAACAACACTCTGGAATCGATTATGCCTGTGTTTGAAGCAAAATTCGGATTCAAATTTAGTTCTAAATCAGTAATAACAGCGCTTAATAATTCAGGTTGTTTCTATTTTATTCATTGTCAAGAATAGCTTTGTTGATTTGACTTTAATTTCTCTCATTTATGTAAATTTGAGGCTTATAGAAGAAATTAACTGTTATATAATGTCACATAGCTATTCTCTCTCAACTGAAAAATTTATTGGCTTTTAATTTAATTTCTAAATTTAGTTAGAAATTATTATCCTGAAATTAGTTGATAAAAAGTTATAGGCTGTTCTAGAATTAATTGATTAGTCATTATTACTATGGATTGCAATTTATCTCTGAAAGAGAAATCTTTGTTAAAAAGGTAAGTAATGCATTTGTAGAAAAATTCGAAACTAACTGAAAATGTGCTTGCTGCAGTACTTGCGAAAGTGTGATATGTTGTAATATACAATTTCAGAACAACTCTTAATCTTGAAAGATTTTATTTAAATGATATAGACCCTGTAAAATCGATTCTAGGCTTTTGAAAAGGAGTGACATCATCTGGTAGAGAAATTTTAGTTCGTTAATAGTGTGAGCCATAGTTTAAAATTAATAAAGCATTTTTGAATTATGCTTGCGGAAATAACACATTTGAAGAAATAAAACTCGATCTGGAAGGAAAGTTTTCAAACGTTCGTGGCTGGTACCAGCCATTGTTTAAAGCAAATGATGCATTTTAAGCGTGCTAATAGAAATAAAGCAAAGCAGTTGAATGCATGAAAAGATATTTTATGTATTATGAGTTTGATAAATTGCTGAAAAATATCACGAAAGAAAATGAGTTGCTTAGAATTTATGACGAATTATTCGAATGTTTTAAACTTCGTCCATTGAAAAACAAATTATATTACTTACAAGGAAATTGGTAGAAATTTAAATTTACAAATAAATGTTTCTAGATCCACGAGAGTAAATTTTCTAGCTTCAATTATACATTTTGAACTGGGTTTAAGAGGCATAAGAGATATTTTACTTTTCGAGTTGAAAATTTCCTTTACATTCAGTATTGAATTTGACACTAGATTTTAATCAATTGCATCAGACCATTATTCATATGATTCGATTGAACGAATAATATGTTTGAAATAAAGTCTTCGAATTCTGTGACCACTAGCAAACATTCTCGGTTTTTATCTTCAGATAAAACGAATAATTTAAAAAATGAGATGAATGTATCTCCTCAGAATTTGGTATTTTAATTTGTCAGGTATGATACACCATAGCAATGTATTAACAGGACCATAGCAATGTATTAATAGAACGTTTTGTATTAACAGGAATTTTAATATTATTTATTATGGCAAAGTATTCGAAGAGCTTTATATTTAATAATAAGAAGACTTTTCAAGATTAGTTTCTAAAATAGGGTCTTAACCATGGAAACCCCAAAAAGTCCATCAGACTGTTAAAATTTGAATTCTACAGTGATTTGTATAATCATAAATCCAAATCTCAAAACGCAGATGACAACAATTTTCTTCAAAGATCTTGCCCTTCTTTTAGCGGTCTTATGATAAACAGGCAAGTTTTAGGAGTTTTAGCAGTCTTCTGATCAACAGGTAAGTTTTAGGAGTTTTATCAGTCATATGAACTGTGCAGTAAACTCGCATATACATTACGTATGATTCATACTTTAATTTAAGCCATCACAGAATTCGTGAAGCTGTATGCTACTAATCTGACGTTTAGATGTACTCATTTACTTTATTTATCTACTTGAAGACAATATATGTATATTGTCTTGAGAACATGTTTTTTATTTTTAATTTGTTTAACATTTCATTCCAGTGCCCTCATATCGTGGTATTTCTCCATTAGTATCATTTTTCACAGTACTGTTATTAGGAATAAAATCCAGGAAGATCAACAATAACACCTGATATTTTCCTTCTCTATAAGTTTAGTCGAAAACATATTCTCCGCAGAATTCCAAATTATTCTCCAAATCTATAATCAGTTGCTATCCCGATATTTTATTGAAACTGTAGATGATTTCAAATGATCGAAAAATTCACTTTTGGCTTATATCTAGTTAGTAAGGCTTATTTTAAAAGTGAAATCTTTACTGAGCGTAAGAGTTCTCGTTTGATTCACTGAAAGTTCTGAAGATAAAATCTCTACTGAACCTCTGAACTACTCACTTAATTCAGCAGAATTTGTTAACAAGAAATATCAAATGAGCTCTAGTGTCCTCATTTCATTTTCTTAAAGAGTCTGCTCTAGTGAGTAAATCATTCACTTAGGCACTTTAAGATTTTCGTAGTCTATAACAGATTTATGTATATTTCTCATTTCTGAAACGGAGTTCAGTTCCAACTAGCTACTATAAATAATTTATGGATCTCAAAACATTATATTTTTAGAAGTATTACACGTCAGACATGAAACATATGTTTCTGCATGCATGAAGCGAATCGAGATTCTGCCGATTCTATATGTGCCTCGTTGATCATATGACACACTTCAGTTTGATAGTCGAGTTTTGTCCATAGCTTTTGACTTGGTCACTTGCTGAAAGTCTCCATGGAATTCATACTTCAGTAATTAGATTATTTTTTATGAACGCAATTTAATGCGTTTTTTCGATGCAACCAAAGTATTATGAATTTGTAAGTCTTGTTGTAGCTTAATAAAACCCATAAGGAAACCATTGTTTGAAAAATCAACTTGCGAATAGTTAATTATAGCATTAAAAGCAAAAACAGAATTTCATATCATGAAATAACAGTTGTAATAATCCGATCAAACGTAATGGACTTTGCGAACCAGATTTTCATTTCAATGCAGTACGTCGTTTTAGGTTATATTCCGAAAATTATTTTCCCATCTGGAAATATTCCCAGATTTCACAAGTAGAATTGTCATAAATCTTGTTGTCACGGCTTCATACTAAGCTCAAGAAATTCTTTTTAGTGGAACGAGAAGTGTATTCAATAAACAAATACTCGTGCTTTTTGGTATACATTTAAAGAAACGCTTGAGGTCCACAAAGAGAATAATTTGTGAAAATTTTCTGGTGCGATTTGTTTCTGGAAAACGGAACGTGAAATTTATACTTCATTTGAAGAATTTCAAACGAATCATCACTTGAAAATTACTATGCAATGTAAATACGTAGCTTAACTTCAGCTTCGTATAAATAAGCTTAACTTGCAAAAATAGATGGTATGAGGAAAAATAATTATTTGATATATTATTCAAGGAAATATTGTATTCGAAAAGATATGAAGTATCCGAGAAATGATGTTAGTATCTGAACGTAAAACCGAAATTGAGCGAAATGGAATGAGACTTTTTCCATAGTGAAAACAGTTATGTTTCTTTCAAATCTATAACACTAATAACTGAACTCTGCTTGAAAGGAATGATTGCAACGCCACAGGGTATATTTTGGCAATAAGTAAAGTGAAAACTCTTATGGCAACGATATATAAAGACGGGCAGCTCTTCTTGAAACATAAATAAACACTGATACTGAATGTCACCAATAAGCATTCTAAATCTACCAGCATCTTCACAGAAGATAAAAATTTTCAGGGACCTTGTGATTTGATGAATGCTGTTACTGCAACATGAGAACAATTAATTATCTATCTAACAGTTGAATAAAGAGTACTAATTGTTTGAAATAATAAGATTATGCTTACATAATAAGGCTTCAAATAAAGTTTTTTTTCTCCAATTTCCGGAATTGCCTTGTACCGAATTATCCTTTTAGCAAACTTTGATCACTTCAGGGTAGAATCTTACGTGTCATTCCTAAAACAAGACTATTTCTAGTGATTTATATTTAAATATTTTATTTTATTTAATAAATGACATTCACGCTTATTTATTTATTTATTTATTTATTTATTGGTTTTTTGAAACTAGGATCACAATTTTTGTTCCAGAATTTCATATATCTTATGAGTAGAACATGAATCTCTGATTCTCTGACATGAATTTTACTTTCAAAGTCATCCAGTTCAGTAATTTATCTACCTTTTTTATGTTTATAAAACTTACGACAGATAAATTATTTCACTCTTTTCATCATAGACAGGAGAACATTAGACTGTATAATTCCTGGGCTGTTTTCTCATCCACTCCTTGAATTTTAAAATACGACAATTGCTAGAATAAATGTTTATTGCAGATTATACTGGGTAAAAATTTTATTTGACAATAAAAATTCTAATTTTAAGTTCTTGGTGGCAAATAAATATTTTCGTTTAAAAATAGATTTAGTTTGATAATTTCAAAAAAAATATCTGCTTTGACGGAAATGTCCAAGGGCGAATTAAATCCGCTAACAAACATGAATGAAATTAAGACAATTACATATTGAGATATTGAAATTGGATAAATTGGATGCAGCTAAGTTAACAGCTGAGCCATGGACAAAAAAGTGCTTCATTTTTAAAGAGTCAACACTGATACTGAACGTGTGGAGAGTTGATACTGAACTTGAGTGAGGCTTTAACATTAATACTGATATTTATAATGAAATATTATATTTCAAAATTTTGCTTGACAGAGCAAAATCTTTGTAATCATATCTTTTATTGTTGCAGTACTTAGAATTTTCTAGGTAATTTGCAACAATAGATTTTTTTTTCTCCTTAGTTCTCAGATTCAGCAGCTTCCTTGCAATTGTATCTTTTATTCCCGGAATACCTGAGTTTTCTCCGTAATTGTTAAAAATAGTTTTCCTAAGAATTCTGAAAATACATGACTTTCCCGGAATCATATATATTATTCCCAAAATACTTTGTTTCTCTTTGTAACACATAAGATCTGTTTTTCAGTACAATTCTCTCAAAATAAGTGACTTTTTTAGCAGCTTCTAATAACAGCTGAACAAGGAACACAATTACCATCAGCATTTTTCACAATAATTATACTAGTAAAAAGAATTTGACGATGATTATTTACATTAATAAGGTATTTTCTCCCTCTTTTCAGAACGTCTTCGAGGTATAACAGTAGCACACTCGGCGCGTATTCGAGTCCCAGTGAAGACATTATGCATTTTTCACATTTTCTGCTTCAAAGTAACCTAATGACTCTACAAGTGGCGTCCGAACTAAAAGGTAGTGGGCAATAATTCGTCACCATTAGGATTTGGCGATTGCATCGCCTGATCACCAGTCGCCCTTTAAAAAAAGCTGAGTATATAAGGTATTTTTTCTCTCCTCCTCTCCATATGCCTTTGTGGTGTAATTGGAAGCGTATCCGGCGCATATTGGAGAGGTACTCCCGGAGAGGGCATTGCATATTTTTCACGTCTCCTGCTTAAAAAAATAAACCTAATGACTCTACAATGTTATAGCAAAAGTATTTATCCCTGAAAATGAAGATTTAATTTTACTACAGTTAAAACCACTAGTGAAAATCCTTTGATAAATATTCACTTTTCAAATTTTCAATTATTCTTAGAATACACATAAAGGGTATAAAGAAATTTGCGAAAATTCCTTTTACTGCATTTGCAACACACCGTTATAAGACACTCAAATGACAAATGGTTTTACTACTCTAACTGGTTAACTAAGATTTGTTTTTTCTTTATTTCTTTAACCTCTATTCAAATGGCATTTTATTGAATTGAACACAAAACTGTCGCATTTGAAAGAAAATCAAACGAAAATCACTAAGATATTTTACTATATTATCAGCAACTGATTTTTAGAAAATAAATTAAAACCTTTTTTTAATATAGAAACATTTTAAAATTAAATTCTTTTTAACGTATTACATAAATGCGAAATTTCTTGATATTTTGGGTTGGCATGAGCTTCCGGCCAATAACTAAAGTAATCGATGGCAATTAGGATGTACTTTTTACCCTTGGTTGTACAATGTAAACGTCCGAAAACATAGAGAGCAATCATTTCGAATGGTGCTCCTACGTTTTAGCGCTGTAATTGTCCTCATGTGTGTTCTTGTAGGCCTTTTTGAGTATCAGAGGTATAACAGTATTTTTACCACTTTTTTGCATCTACTTTGGCCTATCTCAGAAGAAACCTTAACAAAATGTATGGAGTGTCTTTGTTACGCTAAAATGACCTCAAGGAATGCTACTATGAAGCTTTGACAGAACGCTAAGAACTTGAATATTGGTAAGATGAGCTGCCATTTAAAAGTCTTTCTATCATCAGATTCCTAATTCCGGTATAATATACTATCAGATAAAAGAAATCTCATAAAGCCCAATGTCTTTTCGTGGTCAAACTAAAAGACCCCATTTCTTGCCAGCTGGGGTTTTCACTTCCTTTTTCATCAATTCTATTAATTGTAATTCAGAATCTTCCACTTGGGCCTGTTTAAATTTTCTAATCCATGGATCAGTTTCTAATGTTATAGACCTGGCGTATGTCTGAACACTGGCTCTTTAAAAATTTGTTTTTCCTTGGATTTTGAATAGTGTTTGCATTTTTCTGCAGAATATCTCTTGAACGTTCATCAACATTCTTATGCAAAATTCCTTTGTGATGTTGAATTTCCACGCCATATTCCTGTAACCTCTGTATCCATCTAGCCATTTAGCCGTCCAGATTTTTTAAACTAACCATCCAACTTAATGAAGCATGGTTGATGCACAACAGGAATTTTCATCCATACAGCTAGAGATGGAAATATTCTGCCTTTACAACAGCTAACAGCTCTTTTCTGATGACACAGTAATTCCTTTCTGACTTTGAGAGGCTTTTGCAAAAACAGACAAAAACATAAACAGCTCCAGTTTCTTCACTACTGGTGTCTGTATCAAGAATAAATTCTTTTTCAGGTTGCGAAAAGCTACTCCCACCTCCATCTCGTTATACAAAAGAAAAATGCCATAGTCTGCACACTAATACATCTCTGCGGGACAGATTATTCATCAGTTTAACAGAGAACTCATACACTGACTATGAGCGCAATAGCATAACACAGTGCCCTGCCACCTTAGCAGAATTCGTTCTTGATACGAAAGTACCAGTGAGTCATATGCGGTATGTACTGAGGGATCAAACGGGGCTTTCAGGTTATAGCTTCTGTGTGGTATGAGACATCAGCAAATTATTTACCTGGATGCAAAAACTAAATTCTACAAATATTGTTTCCAGGCTGAGCTTGCAGCACTTAGAGCAGCAGTTCACTACAGCATTCTAGTCGGTCACGAATTAACCTTATATTCTGACTCAGCATTAAATCTGTACTCTATAAGAGGTTGGAAAATTCGGAACACCTTAGTCAAGGAGATTCAAAGAATACTACTCTGCTTGTCAGCATATATGAGACCAAAGTTCTAGTAGTAGTGCACATACTGGAGGACACGGCAATGAAAAAGCAGACGAAATTACCAAATTGGTAGCCACGGACGAATATACGCGGAAACTATACATACCATAGCCGAAGACGCACATGAAAACTACCACTAGGACCCTTTTGATGGAGAAGTGTCAAAGTTTATGGGATAACGAACGACACTGGCAGGAGAGCATGTAATTACTTTCCAAAGATCAGAAATAAATTACGCAGTGGGACTTCTGAGTTGACACACTTCCTGACGAAACATGGCCCATACATAAGCTATTTATATCTCTCCGGCTTTCGAGACAGCGCGCAATGCACATGTGGAGGAGTTGGAGATTCTGACCATTATATGCTTGACTGTACAAAAACAAATGCTTATCATCTCCTCATTCCATCAGCTGGAAAACATTGTATAGGTAAATAACACCTGCTGCAACACATATGCGCTCAGATGTATCCAGAAATGCACTGAAATTAGCTCATAGAATTTTCAATCGGCTAACTAGCTAGATGGCATCCTGCTAAAGCTAAGGGCAGTAAAAAGAAATACCATAAACTTAAAAAATGCATAATATGCATTTTGTTGTGGTGTATCAGCTCACTAGATGTCTTTTCAAGTGTTGTTTGAACTTCTATCTCCAGTGTAAATTCTGCATAACGTCAAGTGCACTAGTACAAGTGCACTGCATAACGTCAAGTGCACACTATAATGGTTTCATACCGCTATATGGATGTACTTATACTGGTGCATCAATATTTTGGTACTGCACAATATTTTTAAGTGCTTGTGTTATGAATTGTATAATATAATGTATAGTATTATGTTCGTTATATATGTGTAATAGTTTATTACCATGCATCCATTTTGAAATAAGTACAAGAGTATGTTTGCAACAGTGTAGTATTTTGAGATATCACAAAAAGCAGCTTTGTTTTTAAACCAAAAGAACAGCATATGCACTGACTCCTTCAACCTAATAGTAGTATAATCAAAACATACTGCTTTAGCTGCATAGCTGACTTCACTCCTTACATTATACTTTCGTTGCCCTTTGCTATAGACAGCTTCCTTCATCCGGACTTGCGAACAAAATTAGACTCACTGGCAGCCATCATAAGCGCCATCTTCGAGTGGACCAACTGATCTGTCTTTGGAGTAAAGTTAAGTAAAAAAAACGTGTAGTTCTTAAATTCTTCTTCACACTTCTTAGTCCACAAAAACTTTAGCTTTCTTACTGTTAGGTGGTGTAAAGAACTTGTGATTTTAGAAAAGTCTTTGACCAATCTTTGATAATACGTGCAGAGACTGTGAAAATTCCTTAATTTATAAATGTCTTGAGGACAACACGAACGGCTTTGATTTTCTCAGGTGTGCATACACCTTCAGCAAAAATAACATAACCAAGTAGCTAACTTCTTGTCAAAATAATTTAGGCTTTGAAGGACTGAGCTTTTAAGTGGCTTTTCTGAGTTTCTGTAGCTATTTC